GGATAGACAGATAATTAGATGGATGGATGGATGGACAGATGGATGGATGGATGGATGGTGGGTGGATGGATGGATGGATGGGCAGATGGATGAATAAACAGATAAACACATGGATGGATAGACAGATAATTAGATGGATGGATGGATGGACAGATGGATGGATGGATGGATGGATGATGGATGATGGATGGATGGTGGATGGACAGATGGATGGATGGATGGATGGATGGTGGGTGGATGGATGGATGAGTGGATGGATGGATGGATGGGGGATGGATGGAGGGATGATGGATGGATGGATGATGGATGGATGGGTGGGGGGATGGATGGATGGATGGATGGTGGATGGATAGGTGATGGATGGATGGATGGATGGATGGTGGGTGGATGGATGGATGAGTGGATGGATGGATGGATGGGGGATGGATGGAGGGATGATGGATGGATGGATGATGGATGGATGGGTGGGGGGATGGATGGATGGATGGATGGTGGATGGATAGGTGATGGATGGATGGATGGATGGATGGTGGGTGGATGGATGGATGAGTGGATGGATGGATGGATGGGGGATGGATGGAGGGATGATGGATGGATGGATGATGGATGGATGGGTGGGGGGATGGATGGATGGATGGATGGTGGATGGATAGGTGATGGATGGATGGATGGATGGATGGTGGGTGGATGGATGGATGAGTGGATGGATGGATGGATGGGGGATGGATGGAGGGATGATGGATGGATGGATGATGGATGGATGGGTGGGGGGATGGATGGATGGATGGATGGTGGATGGATAGGTGATGGATGGATGGATGGATGGATGGTGGGTGGATGGATGGATGAGTGGATGGATGGATGGATGGGGGATGGATGGAGGGATGATGGATGGATGGATGATGGATGGATGGGTGGGGGGATGGATGGATGGATGGATGGTGGATGGATAGGTGATGGATGGATGGATGGATGGATGGTGGGTGGATGGATGGATGAGTGGATGGATGGATGGATGGGGGATGGATGGAGGGATGATGGATGGATGGATGATGGATGGATGGGTGGGGGGATGGATGGATGGATGGATGGTGGATGGATAGGTGATGGATGGATGGATGGATGGATGGTGGGTGGATGGATGGATGAGTGGATGGATGGATGGATGGGGGATGGATGGAGGGATGATGGATGGATGGATGATGGATGGATGGGTGGGGGGATGGATGGATGGATGGATGGTGGATGGATAGGTGATGGATGGATGGATGGATGGATGGTGGGTGGATGGATGGATGAGTGGATGGATGGATGGATGGGGGATGGATGGAGGGATGATGGATGGATGGATGATGGATGGATGGGTGGGGGGATGGATGGATGGATGGATGGTGGATGGATAGGTGATGGATGGATGGATGGATGGATGGTGGGTGGATGGATGGATGAGTGGATGGATGGATGGATGGGGGATGGATGGAGGGATGATGGATGGATGGATGATGGATGGATGGGTGGGGGGATGGATGGATGGATGGATGGTGGATGGATAGGTGATGGATGGATGGATGGATGGATGGTGGGTGGATGGATGGATGAGTGGATGGATGGATGGATGGGGGATGGATGGAGGGATGATGGATGGATGGATGATGGATGGATGGGTGGGGGGATGGATGGATGGATGGATGGTGGATGGATAGGTGATGGATGGATGGATGGATGGATGGTGGGTGGATGGATGGATGAGTGGATGGATGGATGGATGGGGGATGGATGGAGGGATGATGGATGGATGGATGATGGATGGATGGATGGATGGTGGATGGATGGATGGATGAGTGGATGGATGGATGGATGGTGGATGGATAGATGATGGATGGATGGATGGATGGATGGTGGATGGATGGATGGATGAGTGGATGGATGGATGGATGGTGGATGGATAGGTGATGGATGGATGGATGGATGGATGGTGGGTGGATGAATGGATGGTGGATGGATGATGGATGGATGGTGGATGGACAGATGGATGGATGGATGGATGGATGGTGGGTGGATGAATGGATGGTGGATGGATGATGGATGGATGGTGGATGGACAGATGGATGGATGGATGGATGGATGGTGGGTGGATGAATGGATGGTGGATGGATGATGGATGGATGGTGGATGGACAGATGGATGGATGGATGGATGGATGGTGGGTGGATGAATGGATGGTGGATGGATGATGGATGGATGGTGGATGGACAGATGGATGGATGGATGGATGGATGGTGGGTGGATGAATGGATGGTGGATGGATGATGGATGGATGGTGGATGGACAGATGGATGGATGGATGGATGGATGGTGGGTGGATGAATGGATGGTGGATGGATGATGGATGGATGGTGGATGGACAGATGGATGGATGGATGGATGGATGGTGGATGGATGGATGATGGATGGATGGATGGATGGATGGTGGATGGATGGAAGGTAGATGGATAGATGATGGATGGATGGATGGATGGTGGATGGATGGATGGATGAGTGGATGGATAGATGGATGGATGAACAGATGGACACATGGACAAACAGAAAACTGGATGAATGGATGGCTGAGAAGAGGAGGAAGGCATGTGGAAAACAACAGAACAAATGCACAAGTATAACTGGGAAGGGCGCTGGGAATTGCTTCTGTAATGTCTTCTAAGTTAAAAATTACATCAAAAATTAAATGGATGGATGGATGGTGGATGGATGGATGGATGGATGGTGGATGGATGGATGATGGATGGATGGATGGATGGTGGATGGATGGATGGATGGGTGGATGGATAGATGGATGGATGAACAGATGGACACATGGACAAACAGAAAACTGGATGAATGGATGGCTGAGAAGAGGAGGAAGGCATGTGGAAAACAACAGAACAAATGCACAAGTATAACTGGGAAGGGCGCTGGGAATTGCTTCTGTAATGTCTTCTAAGTTAAAAATTACATCAAAAATTAAACACGACAAACTCCTAAATCCTTGAGCATTTTCTGAGTGACAGACCTGGCACACTGAGCCCCTTCAATCACACCTGTATTTATGCTAGTGAGGTGATTTGGGCTGCCATTCCTGATAGAATGCCACCAGAGAGCCTGGCACTTTGGAACTTTCTGACACCCCTCACCCATGATTCTGGGTAAGGGCCCTCTAGGTGAAGTTCTAGAATGAGATTTGGCAATTCTCTGTGGCTGGAGAACCCACAGAGGGGCTGGAGGTTGGCACACCCAAAGAGGGCACAGAGGCACCATGCCCTGCCTCATCTCTCAATGTGGGCACCCTCCCCTTGCAGTTCCTACGTTGGGTCCTGCAGGCAAACTGATCAACTTTAGCACAGGGCCTCCCTGGGTTCTGTGAGTCTTTCTAGCAGTAACTGAAAGGGTAGGAACCCCAATACTCAGATGCTGGTCAGAGGCATAGATTGAGGTCTAGGCCAGTGAATAATCTGAGCCCCTAACTGCAGGATCTGGATGAACTCTGGGAGTCAGTGTCAGAACTGAGTCAAATGTCAGGTCACACATTTAGCAAACAAAGAGTTGATTGTGGGGTTGAAAAAAATGCTTGAACCTCCAAAGTGAGTGGGTGTTGTATAAGAAGCAGCAGCAGCACAGTAAAGAGGTGGAGGGTGAGTCAGCCCCGCCTGACCAGTCAGATCTAGATAAGAGCAACCTGTCTGCAGCCCCACCTCTGTGTACAACTCACCCAGCCGGCCCCCTGGGTCCCCGCAGCCAAGAGAACCCAGCCTCACCTCTTCCTCAAGCCTGTTCCCTCCCGTGCTCCAAAGGAGATGGAGCCCTTGGCAGTCCTTTGAAGAGCTCAGCAAGCCTCATTCCTTACTCCCTCTGCAGCCCAGCCTCCTGGAGGGACGACAGGGTGGGAGGTATCATCTGCATTCCTCGCAAGGCTGTTGCAAGGGTAGCTGGGGCACCTGCCCCACATAGCTGGCAAGTGGGTCTCTGAGCACCCAGAGACCTAGGACCTGAGCCACAGATGCCCACTGTGGGCTTTACACCACCAAGGTATCAGGGCTTCCATGGAGCCCCCCAAGGCCCCTGATCTGCCCACTCTTGTGGGAGCAGTGAACTGCATGCCAATCATACCAGGTGAAGCTGGCTCCAGAATTCTCCACAGAACCAACAGGATGAGACTCAGGCCACCTGTGTGTTTGCCCAGTGCCAACGCTCTTGCCTAATGCCTATTTCCAAAACTAAGGAACCAAAGAAAGACAACAGATGAGCCAAGCGTGAAACAAGCCTCCTTTGTGAATGTGAGCCTCAGCAAACACCTTGTAACCTCGTACGCATCTGCGAGGGGCAAGCCCACGCTCGGCCTTCCACAGAAGTCTCTAGAATGAAGGGTCGGGCATGCCAGCAGCCTTCGCACAGGCACTGTGGGGTCAAGGGTCCACTCAGTTCATGGGTGAGGATGAGATCCTAGAATAAGTGTCTGTGGAAGGCACGTGAGGCCCATTTACAAAGAAGTCACTCTGGGAGTTCAGTTCTCCTAGTCTAGTCCCTGTGCAACCCAGGACAGAATGTCTCTCTGTACCTCACATGAGGGACCACTGTGCCCCTGCAGCCCACTCAGGAAGAACCCCAAGTCGCACTGGCATGTCAAGACAGAACAAGGCAGCACATGGGGGGACGGTGAGGGAAAGTACATCCCAGGAGCGGCTGCAGCCCGAGGAGGAAGGGTCTGGCCAACGTCCAGGAGAGCTCGCTGGGACAAGGCTGGGAGTCTCATTCCAGTAGAAGCTGGGCTTTGAAAATAGTTTGTTCTGGGAAGGGAAGGTTGATATTCCCTGCAATCCAAAAAGCAAAGAGGCAGAAGCCAGAGAGGCTGGCGTGGGGCGCCCTCTGACTCAGGCTGGGGAGGAGCAGGAGGCGGACTCAGGCCAAGCAGGAGAGCTGGGTTTATAGCAACGGCAGGGTGAAGGCAGCAGTCAGTGGAACCACAAGTCACCGGGCAGCATGCTGTACGCCCTGCTCCTGTTTGGCCTCCTGGGGGCCGCCCAGGCCAGTCCTATCTCAGGCCCCCAGGAGTGTGCCAAGGGCTCTGAGGTGTGGTGTCAGGACCTGCAGGCTGCTACAAGGTGCAGGGCAGTGGGATACTGCCAGAGTGCCGTCTGGAGCAAGCCTACCACCAAGTCACTGCCCTGCTCTGTGTGCCAGGATGTGGCAGCCGCCACCAGCAACCGGCTGAACCCCAAGGCCACCGCTTCTGACGTCCTGGCAGCAATGATGAAGACCTGTGAGTGGCTTCCCAACCAGGAGTCCTCAGCCAAGTGCAAGTGGATGGTGGACACACACAGCCCAGCTGTCCTGAGCATGCTCAGTGGAGCCCCAGACAGTGCTCCGGCTCCAGTGTGTGCTGCGCTCACCCTGTGTGAGCCACTGCAGAGGCACCTGGCCACCTCCGAGAGGCCGCTGTCCCAGGAGGATGCAGCTGAGGTGATGGCTCCCTTCTTGGCCAATGGGGCCCTCAGCTTCCACCCACCACAGATTCCCGGGGGCATCGTGTGCCAAGACTGTGTCAGGCTGATCTCCCGGCTCCAGGGGGCTCTGGAATCCAACTTGAGCTTGGCAGAGGTGGATGTCCGGGAGCAGTGTGAGTCCCTGGGGCCTGGCCTGGCTGCCCTCTGCAAGAACTACATCCACCAGCTCTTTGTCCCTGCTGAGCAGACCCTGAGGGTTCTCCCCCCACACGAGGTCTGCACCAAGGGGGGCTTCTGTGAGGAGCAGAGGGGGTCTGCCCAGTGGCTGGCACAGGTGGCTGCTGTGGATGGGGTCCCCTCCCTGGACCTGGGGCTGCCAAGGAAGAGCAGTGAGATGCAGATGCAGTCTGGCCTGACGTGTGAGGTGTGCCTCAACGTAATCCAGGAGCTGGACCAGTGGCTAATGACCAATAGCACCGAAGCCCTCATCAGTCATGCTCTGGAGCACGTGTGTTCCATGATGCCCGTTTCCTTGGTCCAGCAGTGCATCACCCTGGTGGACACCTACAGTCCCAGCTTGGTGCAGCTGGTGACCAGAGTCACCCCAGAGAAAGTGTGTGAGACTATCCGGCTGTGTGGCAGCCGCAGGCGAGCCCGGTCCATCCCCAAGGCTGAGGTGACCTTGCCATCCCTGCTGGTGGATGAGGAAAACCAGGGTAGCTTCTGCCAGGGGTGCAAAAGGCTGTTGGGCATGTCTTCCCAGAACCTGGACCGCAAGAGCACCAAGCGGGACATCCTGAAGGCCTTCAAGGGCGGGTGCCGTATCCTGCCACTGCCCTATGTGATACAGTGTAGCCGCTTTGTCACTGAGTATGAACCCGTGCTCATTGAGAGCCTGAAGTTCATGATGGACCCCACAGACCTGTGCAAGAAGATGGGGGCCTGCCACAGCTCCAGGACCCCGCTGCTGGGCACCGACCAGTGCGTCCTGGGACCCAGTTTCTGGTGCAAGAGTCCTGAGGCTGCTGAGATGTGTGATGCCCTGGAACACTGTCAGCGCCTTGTGTGGAGAAAGCCATCCTCCCAGGACAACGAGCAACCATCACTGCAGCCACCAGAACCCAGAGCCTGACAGGGCTGGCCCCACCCAGGGGCTCCTGCCCTCCACAGGGACCCCATGAGGTGGGTGCTGTCCAACCCCCATGTCACAGATGAGAAACTGAGGCTCTGGGAAAGAAGGCTGGGGCAGGGCGGAGCTGACATTCAAAACCTTGCTCTCCTGGTCCTGGACTGTTCATCTTCAGGTCTGTGCCAGGTGGCTCTGCCCTTGCAAGTGTCTCTAAAAATCAGGAAGTCCCCCGACCCTAACTCAGCCAGCCTGCCTCCCTCTCCACTCCATGATGCTGAGGCCTGGGGGAACCTGACAGAGGCCTCTGATGTAGGGGAAACACCCAGCTGTGAACCAAGGCAGGGGCAGAGGGAAGGGTAGAGGGGACCGTCACTAGTCAGGCCCATTGGTCCCTCTGCTCAGTGTGGGGGTCTCACTCACTGGGCTGCAACTCAAACTGGAGTCTCTGAAGCTGATGCCCAAAGGTGGGATGTGAGTGGCTCTGAACTTAACTTCTCTGGGGGAGGAACCTGGAGATGTGACCACCACCCACGAGGAGCAGCTCTGTCTATAACTTGTCCCACTAAGAAGAACCTGTCCTCTCATGCAGACTCCAGCCACCTTGGTGCTGAGCAGAAGTCTTGTGGTGTGCTCTAAGCTGGGATAGCCAAACATGCTGGGCCAGCCCCTGGGGATGGCCCTGGTGGATGTGAAGTGACTGTGGGCACAGGCAGCAGCAAGACCCCCAGCCTGGAGAGCAGGTCCTTTACCTGTCAAGCCTCAGTTTTCCCATCTGTAGAATGGGAGGATCATGTCTGCCTCATAGGAATGTTGAGACAATTTGAGGAGACAAGTTCCTTGCCCCAGAGACAAGCACCCATTGATCTACCAAAATGAGTAAAATCCATCTTGGGGACTGGCAGGGACCCCAAGGAATCTGATGAACAAGTGTTATATAAACCACAGACCTTCTTCAAAATCGGTGTTTGTGTTCTTACTCTAATGGAAGTTTGTGGTTCCCCAGGGTTGCAGTGTCCCCCTCCTCCCAGCCTCCCATGGGTGCTCCTTCAGTGGGAAGCCTCCCGCAGGGGCACCAGCCTGCCTCAAGGTGCCCTCTGGCTTCGTCACGTGTGTAGTGTCCAACACCTTGGAAGCCCCTCATGGACAGCTCCTGGGTATGTGATACCTGCCCTTGGCCTCAAGCCCAGCACAGGGCTTGCATACAGTAGGCATTCAAACATTTGTGGGATGTACACAGGAGTTCCTGTGCAGAGATCACCATTGTCTAAGAGCCTGGGCAGGAATGGAACAGGCCTGACCTAGCTGGGCAATGCTGTGAGTGGGTGCTTTCTCCCGAGGGCCACACCAGAGCTCTTAGGCAACCATCCTGGGTGGGGCCATCATCGCAGGGACATGGGCATACCTAGCCAGAATTTCTGGAGTCCTGCATTCCGACACTGTTGGCTGGGTATGCCTGGGCCCACTGGTCAGCCCTGAGCAAGATAAGGACAGTGGGAACTGGTGAGCACACTGCCATAGAGTGGCCCACACAGCTCTGAGTCAGATTCCAAAACATGTCCTGACATCACTGGACTTACTGACCAAAGCTCACCCCCTTCCCCAGGGGCTCTGGGCCAAGATAGAGGGAAGCTCCCTCCTCTGGCTTGACAGTGATCTAGGGACACACTTGGTGACAGTTGTATGTGACATATGAGAGCTTCCCTGACATTTCCCTGGAGACATTGTCAGCCACACAAGCCAGGAGGTAGGAGTTCTGTGTCCCCTCTTTGTCCCTGAACTCACCCACTCGCCTCCAACCAGAAGATGTTGGGCAGTTTGGGGTATGGTGCTCTAAAACGCCTAGAGCCCCTGAGTGTGAACAGTGACCAATCTGGGTCTCTCCTTGTGCCCTGACCCAGGCCCAGTGGGGTGGCATTGTGAGAACACCTGCCCACGGCCAATCTCTCCAACGTCCCCAGGGAGACTCAAACCTCAGGTTGCCCCTGTGAGAGCTTTGCATCCCTCCATGCTGATGGGAACATAAAGGAAGTCTAAAGTCCTCTGCTGGTCAGAGCAAGTGACTCTAGATTGGGCCGGGCCCTTTCATCATCTCTGAGTGACCCCCTGCCACCTTGCTTTGGAAGGAAAGGACCTCCTGGGCCTCCCAACACCTACATGGCAGTCCAGAAGCCCAGCTTGCTGCTGCCTCCCAAGCTGCCATCAAAGGAGATACTAGACACCCTCTGCTCTTGGGCTTCTAACCTGGGAGGGTAACATATGAGTTAAGCCATTTATTTAGGACAGCAAGAACAGTTTCAGAATAGGGGAAAGTCTCACCACTCCCAAACCAGTTTCTCAGGATGACAGTCCTTAGGCCACAAGGGAAGGAAGCCCCAAGGATGGCAAGAGAGAGTAACCCCTTCCACTGGTGGGGCCTTTGGGCCCTGGATTCAGTGATCTGATATCAAGAGGGACACTTAGGATGCTGTCCAAGGCCACTCAGGCCAGCCCTGTAGGACTCTGGAGGCTGCAGTCGCTCCGCAGTGATCTGGGGATAGGGGCTTGGGGCGCACAGCACAACTGAAAACCCGAGGCTCTCATGCTGGCTGCCAAGTTCAGGCAAACGTGGTGCATGGCCGATCTGAAGAGATGAAGCAAGCCGAGCGAGGGGCCTGCCCAGCCCCGGAATCCAAGAACCACACCTGGACCAGCACATCTTGGTTCCCCGGTTTCCTGTGCTGGGCCCACGGGTCCAGGAAGAATAGGGATCTGTTCTGCCTCTACACTGGGGACAGCACCGCACCCTTGCCAGCTTCCCAGGAGCTGCTCCAGGGACCACAGGCCTTGATGCTCCCAAACCCACATTAGAGTACTGGTGGCAACACACACCAGTTGGGTGACCCTCCGCAGGTAACTGGGAGGCTGCCTGTGGTGGTAGTGTGGCAGGACAATGTACAGAATCTTGAATGCAAAACAGCCTCCCGGTACCTGTGCATGACAAAACCATGTCCTCTGCTCCGCTGTCCTCTACTGCGACTCTCTGACGTGAGCTGCTGCAAGCCCTGCTGAGGCCTCCTGCCCCCAGGAGGAGAGGTATACCTTTCCTCATGACTTCCTCCCCCAGCACAGAGGACTATCATACTCAAGTTCCACAGCTCCGAGGTTAGGTTCAGAGTCCAGGCAGAACACACAGAGATCAGGGGACACTTCTAGGGTCATAGGGTTCCCAGACTCGGATGAGTGAAGCAGACATAGCGCTTCCTGAGCCTTCCTACCCAGGGACAGCCCATTACTGAGACTTTCTACAGGGGCTGGGGGAACCAGACACTCAGAACTAACAGAGCTTTCCAAAATCAGGCACCCAGAGATGACACCCACTACCTGGCCCCGAACCTCAGTTTCTATCACCAGCTACTCACATAGGGCCAGGTAAATATGAGGAGTGAGAGTGACAAGCCAGGGGGCCAGAGTGGTGGCATTCCATTTGCTCTGTGACGTCAGCTATGTCTTCCCAGACCACTGTCCACAGGCACACAAGATCCTGTAATGCTGCAAGTTTCCAGAGCCCCAAAGGATGGAGAGCCAGTGCCATTCGTACGGCTGCAGAGAGTCGACGATGGCAGCTCCTCTTCTGGCTCTGCATCCAGGCACAGGGCTGGATAGCTTGAAGCTGGCATTGGTGGGTGTTCTAGTTTGCCTTCAATTGCTGTAACAAAACACTCTGACCAATACCAACTTGGGGAGGAAATGTTTATTCGGCTTATATCTCCTTGGTCACAGTTCATCACTGAGGGAGCCCAAGGCAGGAACTCGGGAGGACTCTAGAGGCAGGAGCTGGAGCACAGGCCATGGAGGAACACTGCTTACTGGCTCCCCTGGCCCCTGCTCAGCCTGCTTTCTTATGCAGCACAGAACAACCTGCCCAGGGGTGGCACCACCCACAGTGGACTGGGCCCTCCCACATCACTCAAAAATCAAGCAGATGCCCCATAGGCACGGCCACAAGCCAGTCCAATGGAGGCAATTCACCAACTGAGGCTCCCTCCACGCAGGTGTGTCAACTAAAGCATCCAGCACAGTAGAGGAATTTACAGCATGGCATTGGCCAAAACTACACATTAGGGGTTCCTGCTTTTCTTGGCCTGATGGTTCTTACACACTCAGCACCAAACCCACTGAAAGCCCCATTTCCCCAAGGGAATCATGGGATGTCCAGGCTGACCCCCTAGCTAGGTGCTGAGTGAGCGTGGGGCCTAGTCCATCCCAGCAGAATAGACCAGGCCAGTATTTCAGGCTGAAGATCAAGAAAGATGCCATAACTCTTCCTTACCAGGGAGGGTCTGTGTGCCAGGGGAAAGCTGGCACCGTCCTATCGATTCTCACAGGTAAGGCCACTGCTCCCTCGAGCCTCTTAACCCACAGGGCAGACGAGCCACAGACAAAGAAATAATGCCAACAGCGATGTTTGAAAAGGAAAACTACATTAAAATCGTGTCAAAATAGTCCCCAAATCATAAGTTTTGTATGTAAATCTCAGGACACTAATAAACACACTGTAGAGAAAATAGCAGAGAGACAGCACCTCATAGACAGAGACTTAAGGTGGGGTCTCTAGGCGGCTGTGGGGAGGGTGTTCTGCAGGAAGCTGCTCTGTCAGGGTTAGAGGACTCAGGACAGAGCTCGGGTGAAGGCTGCAAAGTGGAGTGGCTAGCCTGTGTGAGGACTTGCATGTGGATGGCTGGTGGGGGGCTAGGGAATGAGGGTTCTAGAAGGTGTGTCCAGGGCCACATGGACTTCTGAGTGTGATGGGAAGGCAGGGGTCAAGTCCACGCTGGGGGGGGGGGACTCTTATGTGTCATGAAAGTTGGGTAGGTGGCCAGGTGGGGGGTACCCAGGGCTGGAGAGGAAGGTCCAAGCTCCAGGCATCCAGAATGAAAGCCACTGGGGCTGACTGGTGGCTGACGTGAAGGAGAGATGGGTTCTGAGGGGCACTGACCCTGGCATGCAGTAAACAAGGACCGGGCACACAGAGGGGGCTGGGCTTGGTCGTCTCCCTCCAGCTCCGCTGAACTTCATGAGGCCACCAGGACCTGCGTAGACCTCAGTTCACACAGTCCAGCTGGGTCCCCATGCCCCTCCCCTACAGGCAGTCATTTCTGGGTCCTTGACAAACAGAGGAAAACTAGAGAGAGAGCTGCTGGGCTGCAGCAGGGGCTCCAAGACTCTATCAGGGGTGTGGGGCCAACCCCCTGCTTGTAAGCAAACCCCTTGCCCTACAGGGAGGGCTGTGGTCCAGCAGGGCATATGGGAAGGACCTGAGGCCCAGAGCGGGAGACAGAGTAAGCCATGATAGAGGCTGATGGGGAGTCAGGTCCTACTAGGCTGACTAAGCTGACTGAGGAGCCCAGCCAGAGTAGACAGGCGACAGTCCATCCATGCAGTGGAGGGCACTCTATCTTCAAAATGGTGTGGGAAACAGCAAAAGGTGGCGAGGGCCAGGCTGGAGGCTACCTGCTGTGTGGTGATCATGTGCTCCAGAATGCATGTGTTAAGTCTGAAGGAGGCCCCCAAGGTGGCATCAGTGATTTTATAGGAAGAGGAGAGACCCAGGCAGCAGCTTCTCTGCCTTGTCATGGGAGGCTGGTGTCAGGGGATGATGTGGCATGAGGCCCTCACCAGAGGTCAAGCACACTAGAGCCATACTCTGGGACTCTCCAGCCTCCAGAACTGTCAGCTAAATAAACCTCTGTGCTCTGTAAATTTTCTGGATTAGGGTATTTTGTTACAGCAATAGAAAGCTGGTTGAGACAGTGCCAGTCTGTCCAATCCTACCTTCTACTTCACCAGTGAGGAGTAAGGAATCAGGGGTCAGGAGGAAAGCAGAAGTCAGGTTCTCCTCCTTGCCTTCCTCTGCAACAAGTGACCCTCTGTACCCCATTCCCGGGGTACAGGAGGACACA